TAGCATCCGCGCCCGAGGGCTAAAGGTGGCGCCTACTACACTGTGGGACAAAAGTTGGTGCCTACAACACTATTCGGGCACTGTCATGTCGGAAAGGGCCTTAAAGCGCCCGTCCCATCGTATCCTGACGGTACCTTCCTGTAGGCGCATAGGGCATGGTCCTCGATACTGTGGTTGACTCGAATGTCCTGTCGTACCCTGTGCTCGTCTTTACGAAGGATCAGGGTGTAGTCATCGGGCGAGGCGGAGCTAGCCCTCAGTCGTCGGGTGAGGTCGAGCCCGCCCTCGGGCGTCGGGCGAGGTGGAGTCTTGTCCTTAGCCATCAGGCGAGGCGGAGCCTGGCTTTAGCCATCGGGCGAGGCGGAGCCTAGCCCTCAGACGTCCAGCGAGGCGGAGCCTAGCCCTCGATGAGACGGAGCCTAGCCCTCGAGGGTCGGGCAAGGCGGAGCCCTCCCTTGGACATTGGACGAGGCAGAGCCAGCCTTTAGCCATCGGGCGAGGCGGAGCCCTCCCTCGGACGTCGGACGAGGCGAAGCCAGCCTTTAGCCATCCGGCGAGGCGGAGTCTATCCCTCAATGGTCGGGCGAGGCGGAACCAATCTTCCGTTGTTCGGGCAAGAAGCGCAGTAGTGCTCTTGTCTGACCGGAAGTGTCAGCGTTCGTTGGTTTATTAGTTCCACCTCATTGGGTACCCCGGTATTAGGTCCCCGACACCAGCCACTGTATAAGCTCCTATTTTTTCTTACTAGCTTTGCATCATCTTCAAAGAAGAGTTCAATGGCTTCATGATTGTGTAAGCAATAACTTTCAATATCATGCTTTGTTCTTGCAGCTCAAACCTCTTTCTTTTTTTTCCAATTAAATGTACAGCTACAACGTTATCATTTTATATAGCTGCATTGTTAGGTTTGGTGTATGCCATCATGGGTATTCATCGATTCTCCAGTTTTTGGTTGCTGTGACGATTCATATCAATTTTAGATAGCTGCACTGTCAAGTTTAGTATATGCTATCATGACTATCCATGCATTCTCCGGTTTGGGTGCTGTGAAGATTCATCATATCCACAGCCAGCAATTCAGTGCACTTGGGAATTCTTGTGTTTTTCTTTTCCAATTAGCCATTCACAACCAGACCTGAGATGAAAAGATGCAAAAAATGATTAAGTTATTGTTAGGCTTTTTTTGCCTCATAATGCCTGTTTCTGTTGATATGTTTAGATTACGTTCTTATATATAAATTTTGAATGCTTAATTTTAGGAACAATTGAAGGAATGACGCAAGATGCTAATGGGGTTTTGATGCAGTTCAATAAATAAAAGGAAGACCAGACGTTGTATAAATTTGTTTGATACTTCAAGATCGACAAGGAGGAGGTAGGGACTTTGATCATCAATTGAACCTACCTTTAGGCCTGCAGTGCATACCTCAATTAATGTCATATTCCTGAGCTTCCTATATACATATCAATTTATGTATGTGCTATTGTTAATTACATATGAGTTTATTTTCTATTATTACGTATGTATTATATAGTGTAGGTGGCCAATGTGGGCATGTTCGATCACAACGTCCTTGGCTATATGTATGTGTTTTTTATTTTTTTATGACCATACCTATATGTTACACCCCAACCTACTATGTACTCTTAAGAAGGATCCATGTGCATGCTAGCCAGACAAAATCCATCCCGCGGCGAAGCGCGGGGGACCACCTAGTCTTTCATTTATTTCTATACTTTGCCTGTTGATATCACACTGTATATACTAGATTATGATAATTTCTCCACTTGAACCATTGCATGTCATTTCTTTCAGAAGTACATAGTTTCCATCATGATCTGGCAACCTGATGACTGTAACAATATAGTGGAATGTCATTTCTTTATCTGTATTTGCATAGTACTTTTGGTTAATTTTATGGCTACTATACATTGATAATGGCACAGCAGGCTCTTCCTTAAACAGTATCTAACCTATCTGAATCATACAATGCATCTAGAGTGTTAGTTAAAACATAAGGGCTTGGTGGTCATTTATTTTGAGATCTGTAGTATGTTCCTGTCATCCTGTGTGAATTAATGCTTTTTGTGCTAATATGCAAATTTCAGTTTCTTTCGAACATATAGATTTACATGTACTGGATGTGTAGATTAGACAAAGGATAGCTTATTAGCTTGTCTTGTTGAGTCATTATCTTTGTTGTCTACTTTGATATTGTCATTGAATTGAAACACTGAAATGTCTGAGAAACAGTCAACTCAAGTAGTGAAGTCTAAAATACTGAAACTAAAACACAAACAACTACTGTCAACTAAAACTACCGATTGCCAAATTGATGAGTTGTGCATTAAGCTTGTTTCTCTGAAAATGTTTTTTCCTAGTTGCATTGGACAATGGACATATTCAAAGAGTCCAGTTCTACACAAGAACATTTTTTTTGTAAACACTAGATTGCTAGTGCAGTTCCACTCGATAATCTTGTACCTTATGCAGGTTTGTTGTAGGCAATCAAGATCTTCTCAAAGTGTTCTTAGAACTTCTCAGAGGCGATATTTTCAAGGTGTTGAAAAATCTTCTTAGAGGCAAATCTTCTCAAGGTGTTGCAAGGTCTTCTCAGAGGTGGACATGAACCCAACTAAGTACTGATGGTTGTGTATTTTGAGCTTTTACCTCATTTTTGATGGCTTCCATGGATAGCAAGTGCTAGTTTGTTTTTTTCATCAGTTGTATATATATGTATCTTGAGACAAGTATAGCTTGATTTTAAGTGACATGATTGCATATGTACGTGAGTTTGACAATTGAATGAGTATGTCTAATGTGATCATTTGTGTGTGTCATTCATAATTTGTACAATGTAATTTGAATATTGTATTGGGTCATGAATGTTTGGTCCAATTTATACAATTTTAAATACATCTATTTTAATTTTTTTTACCTATTTAATTGAGCTCGATGGACTGGTCCTGTTTGGTATAGATTGTCTAGGAAGCGCTTCTCAGATAAGCTGCACAAATAGAGTAAACGCGGCGGTCAAAATAAGCTGGTTTGATTCAGCTCTTTTTTTAGTACAAATGGGAGTTGTGGGAATAAACGTGGCCAGAATAAGCTGTTGAAAAGCGTGGCGTTTGGCTGTTGATTTCAGCTTATTTTGGCCATAAACAGCTTATAAGCTGTATCAAACAGGCCCACTGTTAGTTGCTAAAAGTTCTTATTGCGATGAACTGTTGGTCGCTAAAAGCTCCATGTTGTCGGTCGCTAAAAGTTGGGCCGTCGAACTGTTCGTCGCTAAAGATGATATCCGTCGCTGTATACATATAACGACGGTTTTATTAGCAACTACAGGGGTTCGTTGCTATAACCTTTAGCAACTGACTGTCCATCGCTGTACACCTCTTTTAGCAATTCTAATTCACTTGTTGTTTAAAGGTTGTGGTGTAGTGATTTACTATAATACCCAATAAATAAAAAACAAAAACAAGACACTACGTAGAAGAGTCGATCGTTATGCAATAGTTCTTAACTCTTAACTCGCCCGTGAAAAGAGTTGATTGTCATCAGCTTATGTTGGCAACTATGAACAAGATACGACACGAACACAGTGCAATTTAAACAACGCACTTTACATCCTAACAGGAAGAAGTTTATAAAATACCAAGTGGCCTTGTACCGACCATGTATACACATAAAAGATGTTCCTAGGAATCATATATACTTTGGCAAATGGCAAAGTGACATGGTGATAGAGACTTTTATAAACCCGCTTGTCAAGGAAAGTACCACTTAATGGCCTGAACATAAACCTAAAAACAACGCAATTATGCTAACCATAAGTATTATCAACTCGTATACCTTGGTTTTCTGTTTATCTATCAAGAAGCAATGCAGAGAACAAGATCATGGAAAATATTATATGGACTCAAGTGATGCAATTTGCATCCTAACAAGTTTACCAAAGTATATTGTATACCATATATTACCCCACATGAAAAAGATGTCCTGAAATATAAAATTTGGTAAGTGATGTGCCAAAACAATTATATAAACCCCAGTCATTGAAGGAATATACCCCTTATATGCACAGTGGTGGATCAAAGGATTCAAAGCTTGTGTGTTGTGTCAAACTTGTTGATTCTAACTCAATTAATTAATACAAACATTACACAATTAACATATAAAATTCTATATTCTATGAAGGGAGTTAAATGTATTTTTGGCAAAACCTATGGAAACGGGTGGCCTCACCGCTTATACATAGATCTACCACTGCTTATGCATGGAGGCATCCTAAAATGAAGCTCTCATACGCAAAAAGGAGAGGACCATTATGGAACTTAAATATATGAAATTTGGCAACTAATGTGACAAAAAATGTTTTATCAACCCACTTATATTCAAAAAATACCACATAATGCCTTTTGGCTATCAAGAAACAATGGTAGAAAACAAGGGGAGTGTGGGATGAACTCAAGTGAGGCTATTTATATCCTTATAAAAGTTCGTTGAGTAGGCTGTACCTGAAATACCACGTGTAAAAGATGTGTCTAAATAATAAAATTCGGCATGCGACGTAGCAGTAAATACTTGATCACATGCCTGTTTATTGATTGAAATAAAACCTGTGCACGCATGATCCCCTCAACAGAAATCTAAAATCGAACATGTTCCTAAAAACAAACCATGACAAGTGTCACCAGAAAACATACAACCACTGTGCGCGGACATGCCACGTCACAAAAACATGCCAAAACATTTGCGAGGTAAACAAGCATAAAAAACACGCCAATAATCATCGTCCATTTTTTCTCGATCACTACTCCCATTTCGCGTCTTCCACCCTCCTTCCATTCCATTCCGTTCGGACACACCGTCCTCGTTTCTCTCTCCTCCCCTCTCCTGTCCTGTCCTTCCCGTGCGAGCTCACGGTCCCCCCCTACCCCCACGAGCGCCTCCGCGGCGAGGAAGAGAGAGTCAGCAGGCGGAGCGGGGGCGCGCGCCGATGGATCTGAAGGGGTCGCCGCCGGCGGAGGCGGCCGGGGCCGGCGGCGGGGGCAGGGGCGGGGCCGCGGCCTGCTCCATCTGTCTGGATCCGGTGCTCGCCCGCGGCGCGGGCCGGTCCGTCGCCAAGCTGCAATGCGGACACGAGTTCCACCTAGGTCAGATTCCCTCGCGCCGCTGCTAGGCTACGGGCTTTCATCATCCGGATCTGCTTGAGACGGTCGGTTTGGTCGGGTACCGTGCGCCACGGGCGCAATTGGCCGTGGAACAGGCGTAATTTGCCGTAAGAGGGGAATTCTGGTGGGTAGATTTTCAGGATTTCATAGCGTCATCGACGTGGTTCAGACTTGAACAACGGAGATGTTCATACATGTTCGGATGATGATGATGGGGATGAGAACTGCACGTGTAAGAGTAACCGAGTAAGTAGAGCCATTCCCGCGTAATTGGAGCCCCAGGTCTGACGGGCAAATCCGTAAGCTTGAATTTAGCGGTAATTTTGGTTGTTTCACTAGCGGTTGGCCGGTTGCTTGTGGCGATTTAGCTTAGTTATTAGGCCTATAAAGGCTTTTGCGTAGTGACAACATGAAAGGTTCGGACCTTTGGGGCTTGCTTTTCCAATTCAGGTCACGCCTTCTCGTGTCAAGTAATGACTGCATCCGGAAACTTTGTCGAGCACCAAACTTTAGTTCAACTTGAACACCATCAGCACAATTTTGTTGTCGCATCTGCTTTTTTCTGTTATCTCCAAGAATGTCTCTGTCACCTCACCCCTGTGCGTTTATGTGAATGTGTGCATGAAAAATACATTATGATATCTTAGGCAGATTGCTGAACTAAACACGTTTTTCTTGCTAGATTGTATTGGGTCCGCATTCAATGCAAAAGGAGCGATGCAATGCCCTAATTGTCGGAAGATTGAGAAAGGCCGCTGGCTTTATGCAAGCGGACATCGCCCCTCTGCTGATGTTGATATGGGTGGCTGGGTGACTAGCGACAACTATGATATCACCTCCGAGCTTGTAAGTGCACATATTTGAGTAAATAAACATTTATGTCATACAAGTACTAACTTACATTTCTGTTGATTCTGCTTCATGAGCAGTTGTTTTTTTGGTTTGTATTATAGGCACTAGAGGGTAAGGCTTGCCATTGACACCCTTCCCCAGACCCCGCACAGAGCGGGAGCTCTCTGCACTGGGTACGCCCTTTTGAAGGGCAGGCCTGGTGCAGTGGTGAGAGCTGTCTCACTGAGTCACCAGGTCGTGGGTTCGAAGCAGCCTCTCCGCAGATTTTGCGGGGGAAAGGCTTGTCTCGGTTTATCCCTTCCCCAGACCCCACTCATGTGGGAGCCTCCGGCACTGGGTCTGCCCTTTATTATAGGCACTAGAACAGGTGTTACAGTGCTGCTGTCTTACAATGTTTTGGTAGCTTGTTCTCCCTCTTTTCAGGGAGTAGTTTAACTAGGCAAATCGATCTTTGACCGTAAATTTTCCCTATAATATTTTATTGATACGAGTTACAATATCATAAATTCATATTCATCAGCAAGTGATTTTGATTAGAACCTAACACTATCTTTGTGGCACATGACTCATGTTATTGGGTTAATTGTTGGTCAAAGCATGAACTTGAATAGTCAAACTACACGTTATAAAAATTAAAGGAGGGAATACTAGAAGACACATTTTGCAGTCTTAGTACATCATCATTACCTGTCATAATTTAACCTTTCCTATTTCTCATTATCCTGTGTCTTTATTCACAGCCTTTTGGATTTCAATGGTGCCCCTTTAGTGGATTCACCCAGCTAGCATCTGTGTTTGAGTAAGTACTTCTTCTTACCTTTGATTGGATGGATTTTGCATCATGTTTTCAATGATTGTGAAGCAAGAATGAGGATGCCCTCTTCCTTAGATGGTACTCCCTCCAGTCTTACTTTCAAAAGAGAGTACCTATTTTGCGATAGGAAAATTTTGATGTGGGACACTGAGCTTAGATGGTACTCCTTCCAGTCCATTTTATTAGGCGACACAGCAAAAATCATGATTCCATTTATTAGGTGTGTTGCTTTGATCTCTGTGTGCATTGATGTATGCCTCCAGTCCATTTATTAGGCGACACATCTAAGAAGCAACACACCTAATAAATGGAATATACCAGATTGGATGGAGTATATGCTGTTTCACTCTGTTTTTGTCTATATTGGCCAAGTACCATTACAAAATCGTGATTCTATCACACCTAACGATTGTTATACTTATGTATATCTGATTTGAGGAGAGAGAAGGTGGGGGAGAATTGACATTTTCTCAATTGTCTTTATCCTCTCACGCCAGATAAGATAGTGGCCTCCCTCCTCCCTTCCTCTCTTTCCTTGTTCATCTGCTGTTGTTCTCTCGCCTCCTGGAAGCTAAGGTTGAGCCACATAGTTGCTGCTAAGGTCTATGCACACAGTCCCAGAAGTGCTCCTTCGTTACCTGTTGTGGTGGGGGTGAGTGGTGGCTGCCATGTTGGGCATCTCCGGCAGCAGTGGCGGAGGTGGAGGCGCAGCGGTTGTGGCATGAGCTACTCTGATGGTGTCAATGCGCGACGCTTGATCTTGACACTAGCCTGCCTGTGCTGTTCTGGTTCTACTCAGTGCTGCTCCTGTCTGCACTTGGGCGAGCGACTGCTCCACGTCGCCGGTGGCTTCACTAATCAAATCACTGCATGCCCCCTCCACCTCTTCGCCCTTCCTGAATCTGCCATGGTGAGCTGCATGTGCATAGGGAGGTTGTGGTTGTGCGTGAGGTGCCTCCTACGGGTGCGGAATGGAAGCGAGCAGCGGCATTTGGATCCGGCCCACTGCTGGAAGGGGATGGATGAGCCGCTGGCACCCGACTTGGACTCGCTGCTGGGGGACGAATATGATGTGGCAGCACAGACCAGGCTGCGATTCATATTGCGAGAAGGAAGAGGTGGTGGCGGCCCACAGTTGCCAATCACCAACACAGGAGAGAGGAGGAAGAACGGAAGTGGACCTGAGGGCAAAAAGACATTTCTACCCCCTCTGTCTCATATTGGAAAAATGATTGTTAAATGGCTGTGGTGTGAACGAGCAAAGGTCCATACTTTTGTAATGGTACCCGGCCAATTTGGCTGTTTGCGGTTTGAAATGGCAAATCCACGTAAGTTGGATGTTCCACATCAAAATTTGCCGTTGTCATGTGGCATGTCAATGGGTATGTTGGTTTGTTGAACTAATTATCTGCTATTTGCTCTTAGTTATCAGAAAACATATGAGAAACCAAAAATTGCAAGATGAATTCGACATGTCTACCTATGGCTGAAAGATAACCTAGAACTGTAGATGCTATCATCAATGGTTCATGATGATGATGATTAATGCATTAGTTAATCATATGACATGCCCCTTGGTACCATTTTGAGTTCCAGTCCACTAGACTAGACATATCTCTTACGAAGGCATGCCATGGTTTGGGACTTTATTTATTGAAATAAAACTAAACCAACCTAGGAGGACTAGGCGTTTTATATTAAGAAGAAATAGACACCCAATTTTTTCTCAACACGGACTCAAGCTTGGGAGTTGGGTGGTTTGGGCATAATTGCGGTCTTTATTTGTAACGAATGCATATAGGGCTATGCTACAGTACTCCAATTACCCCCTAGGAGCTAAGAGTTCTAATAAATCTGGACCATTGAATTTCCAAAGAGATAAAATCATTAATAAAAAAACAGAAAATGAGAAATATCCGGATAATCTGGTTTATCCAGTGCGCATCTGTGGCCGCACCGTTGTCGGCAGCCCTGTCGTTCGTGTGCCTAGGAGGTAATAATTCATGATATCTTATCCAGATAGACGGTCCACAATCATTTTGGAGTATCGTAGAAATTGCCATATATATGCACATTTAGTTTTCAAGGGCAGTAGTATAAGTCGGCAGTTGTATAAGTCTGATGTTTACATGTTGTGATATCAATTATCATCATCAGGCAAAAACATGTTGCCTGCTTTCTCAATTGCCATTCCGTTGGTTCATGTGTGATGATTACCTGCTAATGCCGGATTACTATGTTTTTTGCTAAAAACTGCTCTTGTTTGTTTTATGGTGATACCGTATATGGACCCTCAGGTTCTTAAAAGAATGTTTCATTTATTCAAGTTCTTAATTTAACCTATTTTTTCTTTTGCAGGGAGCGTGAAGCGGAGCCAACTTGTAAGCATTTTGACCTAAACTTCAACGTGTTAAAATTCTTTCATTTTTACTGCATTGATATTTCCCTTTTATGAAGATCACACAACTGGAGATCACTCAAGTGCTGCAAGCAGTTCACTTGTTTGCCCATATCTTGCCCTGCGTGGTGTTCTCCATCCTGTTCATGTGCCTTCTACTTCTAATTCTGGTGCTGAAAGCACTTCATTTCATCGGCATTCAACTGGCTTGGAAGGCCATGCCACTCCTGATTTGAATAACGCTCCAGTTTTCCATGCTACTGAGTCAAGAAATCATGACAGTGAGCACAGACATTTGAGTAATCTTCCTGTATCAGGAATTCCTGAATATTCTATGACTCCATTTGGTATAGGATTACCAAGATATGACAGTGGCAGCCAACCGAGATTGAGATCATATGCACATCATCACCCCTAATCCATAGGTATGCCCAATTCATGAATCTCATTTTAAGTAGGTTTGTATCATTAAAATATATGGTCATGTATTTAAGTATGTTTGTATCATTTAAATGCATGGTCTTGTATTTATACTGTTAGTCGCTAAATTCTTACTTTTGGTAGTAGTAGAATTCTTACTCTCATCGAGAGAGGATGACACTAGGAGTTGGGGCAATTTTCTGGTTTATTTCTCAATTAAATGCCATACCAACCTGAGGTGTTGGGGATACATATTTATAGCCTGCTAGCCAGCCAAGCATGTGCCTGTCGATGCTGGAGTGCGTGGCGTTGCCGGTTGTGGTGGAGCCGGCGAAGGACTCATCGCAGCTGAGGTCCTGGCTGGAGAGCGTGGCGCTGTCGGAGTAGCAGGCGCCGGGGTCGGTGGAGGCTCGGGGATTGGGGTAGACACGCTCGCCGAAGAAGAGTTGCCTACTCCCCCAGCTCCCTCGAAGTGGACGTACTCGACAGTGAAGTCGTCGTACGTCGGAGCCGAGCCGTCGTTCACCGCCTTGTCCCACGCCCATCCTCGCCCTTCGTCGAACACAACGTCGTGTGCCGTGCGCATATGCTGTGTCTTCGGGTCGAGGATGCGGTAGGCCTTCGAGCCCTCCGCGTAGCCGATGAACACTCCTGGAGTGCTCTTGTCGTCGAGCTTGCTGATGTGGTCAAGCTCCTTGGCGAACGCGAGGCAGCCGAAGACCCGCAAGTGGGAGACCGCCGGCTTGCGCCAATGCCAAGCCTCGTACGGCGTCCTGCCGTCGAGCGCCTTGGTAGGTGAGCGGTTGAGGATGTAGACGGCCGACACCACCGCCTTTCCCCGAAGGCAGATGGCATCCCTCTGCTGAGGAGGGCCCGAGCCATCCCCACAACCGCCTGCGTTGCGCGCCGCTCGACGACGCCGCTTCATTGTGGGTCAGACGGCGTGGAGTAGTGGCGCCAATGCCTCTCATCGCCATAAAGACGACGCGAATTCACCGCCGTGTATTCGCTGCCGCCGTTGTCGGTTACACAACACGCGCAGCACTTTGCGGCGCGACTTCTCGCAAGCAGCGCCGCGAAAGGCCGATGGCGTCTGCGCCCTTCTCCTTTGTCGCCGAGGACCATCACCCACATGTAGCGGAGAGGTCGTCGACGAGCGCAGCAGGAAGTTGCGTCGTCCTCCCCGGTGGGCGGTGTCACCGGGCCACACACAGTCCCAATGCACAAGCTCGAGCCTCTCCTTGGCTCGAAAACTCGCCGGCCGGGAAAGGGGAGTCGCCTCGCTTCGTCAACACGCAGACGTCGCAGAAGCCGCTCCATGGTCGAGGCACGGCAGCCCTCGCACCATCTCCGCGGGCACCGAGCCGCTTCGGGCCTCGGGTGAAGGTGCTCGGCGCTGCGTGCCCTCGCCACGCTTCGTCGTCCCGACGAGCAGCGAGACAGAGGGGTTGTGCCACCTTCACGTTAAGGACGTAGAGTCGATTTGCGCTTCTGGATACCTTGGCAACAAGGCGACGACGGCGATCCCAAATCCTCATGACTCCATCCTCAACCACCACGCGCCACGAACCGTTCTCATCCAAATTGTCCCAAGTCGATGATGGAGTTCCTCAACGCAGGATGTAGTAGACTCGGTGAGCGACTGTGGTCACCAGACACGGCGGTGAAGATGACGGAGCCGACGCCCTTGATCTCCACGCCGGAGGCATCCCCAAACTTGACGGAGCCTCGGACGCTAGAGTCAAGCTCGGTGAAGAACTCCCGTCGACCGGTCATGTGATGGGTGGCGCCGGGTGTCGAGGCACCACCCGTCGATCTTGTTTCTTCTTTGGAGCCGCCGCCGAGGAGGGCGTGTGCTTGGCTTGTCAAGGTGGAGAAGGGCATTCATGGGGGTGTGCACCGGAGGTAGCTCGATGCTTGCATGTGCCATGAACAGAGTCGGCTCCTCCTCCGCTTGTGCGACGTGGGCCTGGCCGCGTCGTGGATGTCGACAGTCCTTGGCCCAATGGCTGCCGCCGCAGCTATGTAGGTGTCGCCCTCGTCGTCTTGCCAGGTGCTCGCCATGGCCGCCTCGGGCGCCTCGCGGGCACCACCCTCGACGCGTCCTCGCGCCCGGCTTTGGCGTCTCTGCGACTTTGCCGCTTATGCGCCGCTGTCGCGAAAAAAGGCTCCCCTTCCGGTCACCTTGGTCGGGCAAGCCATCGCTTCCGAGTGAGATGGAGCTTCCCGCCAGTGGTGATGGGCCCCGAGAGAGATCGGCTCATCATTGCCGACGACCTTGAGGCGACCTTATCGCCTCCTCGATCGACATCGTGGAGAGATCAGCGCAGAGACTCGATCGAGCGAGCCATCTGCCTTGTACTTCTCGGGGACGCAGCGGAGGAGCTTTTTCGACGACTCTCTCTCGCCGCCTCCTCTCTAGGCGCGCCGCCGCCGCGCGCTTCTCCAGAGCGCCACCAAAGCATCCACGCCGTCTGGCTGCCGCCGCAGCCGGCGCGCGCGTCGCCGTCGCGCCGCTTCCCGCCGCCCCGCTTCCCTCTGCCTCCCTCCCAGAGGTCCGAGTCGTCGCGCTGCTGCCAGCAGAACGGAGCTGCTGATCTTTGCCGCCGGCAGGCTCGACCTCTGTTGTCACCACGACGCTGCATCATCCGCCGCGTGCCACCGCTTCGCCTCGCTCTGCCGCTGCAGCAAGCTCCGCCGCCGCCACCGACCGCTTGCTGCCGCCAAGCGTCTTCGCCGCCGGTCTCTCGCCAGCCGCGGTCTCTGCCCGCTTCGCTCGCGCTCTCGCCACTCCTGCCACGGCAAGTTCGGCCTCCCTATGCCGACGCCAGGCGCTTCGAGGCGACCGAAGGCCGAGATCGCCTCATGGACATGACGCGCTACCGGGGCTGCTGTGTGGGAGAGGGCTGCTTGACGACAGCCGCCAGAGAGGGAGAGGAGTGAGCAGGAGGGCCGGAGTCGCTGCTTTGCCCACACTGGGCTGTTGCTATGAAGGTCAGAAAGGAGATGAGCAGGAGATGCTCAGGCTACAGGATAGTACGGCTATGATACCAATCGTTAGTCGCTGAATTCTTACTCTAGGTAGTTGCAGAATTCTTACTCTCATCGAGAGGATGACACTAGGAGTTGGGGCAATTTTCTGGTTTATTTCTCAATTAAATGCCATACCAACCTGAGGGGTTGGGGATACATATTTATAGGCTGCTAGCCAGCCAAGCATATGCCAAGATGCTAGTCTAAGATGCTAGTCTTAAGATGCTGTCCTAGATGCTAAGATGCTGTCCTTTAGATGCTAGTCTAAGATGCTGTCCTAGATGCTAAGATGCTGTCCTAGATACTAAGATGCTGTCCAAAAATAGACCATGCAGCCACAAGGACCATGTGCTGTAGCCCCACAAAGACCAGCCAACACATGAGACTTATCCCACCACAAAGACCAGCCAACACATGAGACTTATCCCATCATATACTTTCTAAACAGCCCCATTTTATGCTCAAAATTACATATACTCCACCTCAATTCATGGACGAAGCTAGAAGAAAACTAAGTGGGCATGCCACTTTAGCACAATCTGTATAGAAAATATGTTGTCTAAATAATAATAAAAACAACAATTTTGAACAGTTCAACATAAATGATAGCAATCTACAATGGGAAAGAAATACCGATAAAATGTTTCCAAATTGAAGAAACACAATAACAGTATTGATTAGTGTACCGTGAAGGTGAGAATATTAAAATCATGGACAAAAGATAGTTGGCACAGGCAAAACAAGGTCATCAACAGCCTAAAGAAAAGAGAACATATCATTCATTTTTCAACTCCCAACAGAAATAGATATATTGACCTTTTATTTTCATATGTATTCTGTCTCCTATCTATGAAATATACATATTAACCATGGCCTAATTTATACCTTTCTTCATTTCTTTTTCTAACAAAAAATAAGATTAGATTACTCATCACTAATGCAGTTGGCTGATTGCACAACAGTGTTTTCATATACTTCGGACTCACTGTATTTAAGACGACTTTCAAACCTATCAAACCAATTCCAGACATAAATATCAAGAAATTCCACCTTTAAACCCTAACCCTATGATCTGGTCAAACAACAAGAATCACATGAATGAAACCCAATCTAGAGTCTCTACTTGATGGGAATCAGAATACAACAACAACATAGCCTTTCAGTCTCAAGCAAGTTGGGGTAGGCTAGAGTTGAAATCCACCAAGAGCCCCAAGTCACGGTTCAGGCACTTCAATAGCTGTTTTCCAAGTACTCCTATTCAAACATAGATCTCTAGGTATATCCCAAGCTTTCAAATCTTTTTTTATTACATTCCCCCATGTCAATTTCGGTCTTCCTCTACCTCTCCTCATATTATTAGCTTGGCTTAGGACTCCATAGTGCACTGGTGCCTCTGGAGGTCTCCTTTGGACATGGCCAAACCATCTTAATCGATGTTGGACAAGCTTTTCTTCAATTGGTGCTACCCCTAGGTGATCACGTATATCATCGTTCCGAACTCGGTCCATTCTTATGTGACCATAAATCCATCGCAACATACACATTTCTGCAACACTCAGTTGTTGAACATGTTGAATCTTTGTAGGCCAACATTCTGCTCCATACAACATAGCCGGTCTAATCGCCGTTCTATAGAACTTGCCTTTTAGCTTTTGTGGTACCCTCTTGTCACAGAGAATGCTAGAAGCTTGTCGCCACTTGATCCACCCTGCTTTAATTATATGGCTAACGTCCGCATCAATATCTCCATCCTTCTGTAGCATCGATCCCAGATACCGAAAGGTATCCTTCTTAGCCACTACTTGACCTTCCAAACTTACATCTCCCTCCTCCTGTACAACTCCGCCAAAGTCGCATCTCATGTATTCGATTTTAGTTCTGCTCAATTTAAAACCTTTAGACTCAAGGGTTTGCCGCCATAACTCTAGTTTTCTATTTACTCCCACCTGGCTTTCGTCCACTAACACTACAGCATTAGCGAACAACATACACCAAGGGATATCCCTTTGTATGTTCCTGGTAACCTCATCCATTACCAAGGCAAATTGATACGGGTTTAAGGTTGACCCTTGATGAAGTCCAATTTTAATCGGGAAGTAATCTGTGTTACCATCGTTTGTTTGAACACTAGTCACAACATTGTTGTACATGTCCTTGATGAGGGTCACGTACTTTGATGGGACTTTATGTTTGTCCAAAGACCACCACATAACATTTCTTGGTATCTTGTCATAAGCCTTCTCCAAGTCAATGAAAACCAAGTGGAGGTCCTTCTTCTGCTCTTTAAACCGCTCCATAACCTGTCTTTTTAAGAAGATTGCTTCTGTGGTTGACCTTCCAGGCATGAAACCAAATTGGTTTGTTGATATCTGCGTCGTTCCTCGCAGGCGCTGCTCGATGACTCTCTCCCATAACTTCATAGCGTGGCTCATCAACTTAATTCTCCGATAATTAGTACAATTTTGGATATCTCCCTTGTTCTTGTAGATTGGTACCAATATGCTTCTTCTCCACTACTCAGGCATCTTGTTCGATCGAAAGATATTGTTGAACATCTTGGTTAGCCATACTATAGCTATATCCCCAAGACATCTCCACACCTTGATTGGGATACCATCAGGGCCCATCGCTTTGCCCCCTTTCATCCTTTTCAAGGCTTCTCTGACCTCCGATTCTTAAATCCTCCGCACAAAGCGCCTGTTAGTGTCATCAAACGAGTCGTCCAGCTTAACGGTGGTGTTCTCGTTCTCACCATTGAACAATTTATCAAAATACTCTTGCCATCTATGTCTGATCTCATCTTCTTTCACCAAGAGCTGCTCCCTCTCATCCTTTACACACTCGACTTGGTTGAAGTCCCTTGTCTTCCTATCGCGAGCCCTAGCCATCCTATAAATGTCCTTCTCTCCTTCCTTCGTACTCAAACGTTGGTAAAGGTCCTCATAGGCCCGCCCCTTTGCCTCACTCACCGCTCGTTTTGCAGTCTTCTTTGCCACCTTGTACTTCTCTATGTTGTTTGCACACCTATCATGATACAAGCGCTTATAGCACTCCTTCTTTTCCTTAATAGCCTTTTGCACATCTTCATTCCCCCACCAAGTGTCTTTCGAGTCGCATCCGCTCCCTTTGGTCACTCCAAGCACCTCTGAAGCAACCTTCCGAATGCATGTTGCCATCTTCTCCCACATGCTATTTGCATCGCCTTCATCATTCCATGGACCCTCTTCAATGACCTTTTCCTTAAAGACCTTTGATGCCTCCCCTTCTAATTTCCACCACTTCGTTCTAGCAACCCTAGCTTGTTTGTTCCCACAAGCTTGCACCAGAAAGCGGAAGTCGTTCTAGCAACCCTAGCTTGATGGGAATCAGAATAATTGACAGAATTGGAGCATTAGAAGAAAGATTGGTGAGGTTTTCTGCCTTGTTTTTGATGAGTAACAAGGATGACAGAGAGTGATGACTCCATGGCCAGCTAGGCTGCTGCAGCCAGCGACAGAGACAACCTTGGGTGCAGCTAGGCATTCTTCACTACTCAGGCCACCAGCAATGGGAATTGAGGGGTACAGAGCCACATGGATGGTTGAGGGGGGCATCTTTGTCGGAAGATCCTCTATGGGCCAAGCTAGGCCTATTGGGATAGCATTCATTCCATTTTGGACTGTATCCTTGCTGTTTGCTTAACAGACTTTTTGGTGTCACACCCCGTGGCCACCGGTGGTTAGGGCTGGGACGTGAGGAAGATGAAGATGCTCTCACGATAGATTACTGGTGGCTGCCGATGACATTTCCACCCCCACAAAACGTTGCTTGTCCCCATGACATGACCATGAATTGCATCTCCATGACTGGAGCCCAGAAATTCCAGAATCCCATTGTCTGCCATTGGCTTGAGTTGCTCACATTTGCTTGGGCTGACACCACTGTCTCTCCATGACAGAGTCACTTCAAACAATGTCACACCATGGTCTACCTAGCTTCTTGTTTGCAGGACCCACTCTGTACTCTGGAAGCAGTAATATTTCATCCACTTGGTCAAAAATGTTGTATACATCCTCAGCACTAAAACCCTGGGCCTTAGAACAGAAGACTTGGCCAAGTACTTTGATTTGCACAAACATTTGGTTTGTTACATCCATGCCAGGTTCTAGGAAGAGGGAAGAGTTGTCCCCATTGGTGCACAACTTGTGCACTATGCCTAGACCAAGCTGCAGGAAAACAGAACAAGCACTGTATTTTGCAAGTCTTTTGGCATCCAGTAATGTAGCGGACATCACAGGCCATTTGTTGTAGTACGTTGTCCTGTGTCTCATTGTTAAATGGCATGCCCTCATGCCACACATCCGCATGAGGTGCTTCATTCAACAGTTCCCATCACATGCAGCAACTTTGTTTCCATATGAGCCCTGAGCATGTCCAGTTCAGCCTGAGCTGCTGCATTGGCCTCAAGAGGTCATTCATCAAACAAATTATCCTCAACATATATGCCAGCATCCAATGGGAAGTAGTCGCTGCTATCATGACTCATGAGTGAGCACAGCCATGATGACAGGTTTGGCACTTGATTTGTTCTCCTCACCACTCAAAGTGCTCTCCATACTGAATTAATTGCTGCAGTAATCCATCCTTTGGGTCCATGTCAGATGACCTCTGTCATCCCATATGACGACTCTGATGCATTTTAGCAAGTTCTTAAGAGGAAGCAATACCAGGAGTTCCCGGTGACATTAGCATAACATGTTCTATATGTGATGCTTCCACTTCCACGAGAGGCATTTCCTCGAACATTGGTGATGAGTAATAATCAACATCAATGAGTTTGGTTTTGGTGATCTGCGCAGTGATCAAATTGATTTCTTCACACCCTACTCACTCTATGTGGTATGTGCTACTGACAACTCTTGATTAAGCCATGCTGCATCGTGGTTACAAAGAGGCATATCATTGAAGAGCAACATATAAGTCATGAGCAACCTTGTCTGTCGCCTTGGATGCTAGACGGAGCGACTGCACTGCTGCCCCCTGCATGTCAGGAGCACGATCCTTGGTAACTGAATTGAGCTGCGCAGTCATCTGTTGATATACGTGGTGCCAATTGATCCCAAGCGGACGTACAGCCCATCCATGCACTATGATCTGATCCAACATGTCCTCTGTTTTCTGCTGTGCCACCACTATTGCCTCCAATATGAGATTGTCTTCCGCCGCCACACACAGCTCTTGAACTCATGTCGTGATCCACTGCCACTATGCATGCCGCGTGGATTCCAGTTGAGATCCACCACCGAGATCCCAATGAAATCTACTGCTGCTGCTCACCACCAGAAGCCCAAGATGTGGTCTACTGACACTAGGCACGCTGCGGAGCCGCCACCACACCCAGACCCACACTGAGAAAAGCTAGCTCTGAATATCAACTGTCGCACCTGTGGCCATCGGCGGTGAAGACTAGGAGATGAGGCGGTAGATTTCCTGTGGTTGCCGAAGAGGATTGCCGGGACGTGAGAAGATTTGCTGCAGATGAGGTGGAGAGGGCAATATACCCTGATTCAATTTCTGATTCGATCCTACTCTGCTCTGGCATGTCGTGTATATGTATAGACCATGCCTACAGGTGTTACACCAGGGGTTCATGGCTTTGGGCCATGCGGGTGCATGCATGGTAAAATGAGATGGCAGTAGCTGATTTTTTGTTTGGTAGTAGGTGCATCTGCACCCACATGGGATAATTAACTTTCGGTCTGCCTTAAATAGGCGGCGCCTAATAGCTGCTGCTGCCTAAGTTATGCTGAAGTTCAGCTGTAAAGCCCTAAAACTGAAAATTTGATCTGCTTGATGGTTCCATTGGCTAGTTCAAGCTTACTGAAATATTGTTTGCTACAAATCTTTGCCTGATTTTCTTTAGCTTTGTTAAATCACAAATTCCCCTATCTCTTATACGATGTTTAAATACTGCAGGCCAACACCTCGCAGTGGAAGCAATTTGGTGGCACCATTAGGGTCAGTTCCAGCTGTCGTGGCAGAGACTAGAGGCCATGGTCACGGTGCAAGAGGCCATATGTACCAACAGTCGATGCATTCATCTGTGCAGGGCAGCCCATTCCCTCCTACCACTAGAAGGGTTAGGCCCAGAGCCTTGACAATTACATCTTTCATTGCAGCGACTTCCTCAGGTGAGATTGGAGGGCCCCATGGATTTCCCGCTCCTGGAGCTGTGAACAGGAGCGTGTCTGATGCTGAGGGCATCTCTAGACCCATCGACCGACCATATACATGGGGCCGGGAGGGCTTTGCTCCGTTCCCTTGGATCCCTGCTGAAGGCGAGTCTCACTGGTGGGGCACCTTCAATCCTATGCAGAACCATGCGCATGGAAGTTTTACCAGAAGGCCTTCTGGGGACCGGATGCCGCAGAGTCACCCAGAGAACGGCTATCAGCCTGTGCCCCCTTCACAGAGGATGCCTCCGTTCTTGTGATTAGACGAGGCTGTTCCTCCAATTGTTGTGTATAAACATTATTTGATTCGAGACTTGAGAGAGAACAATGAGCGAAGGTCGACTGCACTGCAGCATCGAAACTGGTTAAGGGACCTGTATGATGTTTATGCCGCTGGTATTTTAGCGTTTTCGGTCCAGCAGCACTCAGGTTTCATTGAGCGCTGTAGTTTGTCCTAATTGATATGGTGTTGCATTGTTGAGGACTATTTGGAAACATGAGCTAAACTGCATCTCTGGTCCCTGGGATTCAAAAGCACCGAGTGCAGCTATGAAATTTGTTCGTCACAATCGTGTATTTCTGAATGATCTGTGGGCTGTGGCCTATGGTTGTTCCATGATCACTCATTTCCTCTGCCAGCACTGTAGCGGCGCTATTGCTTTTTTATGTTCACTAGTTGACAAACATGCAGTTGCCGTGAATTATGTGGTAATGTGGTAATATCCAAAAATGTCAGCGCGCAAGGCAACCCCGCTTCCGTTGGTTTCATCTGCTGCTCGAAGGTTGAGTTTTTGCTTTTGTATTGATTTGCGGCGGCAGGGGCATGCAAATTTGCTGGAACAGTTGAGATTTAGTAACACAATGTTGGAGACATCTGCAGCGTTTACCATTTTTTTTTCGTTACCGAGGTTGTGTTTAAACGGTTTCGGATGCTTTTCATGATGCAACAGCATGCGACTGTGATGATCATTCATCTTCCTTTCGTAGCATTTGTGCCTTGCGAGTTATCAATGGGTGTTCTAACCGATAAATGTAGTTGTCACAAGAAGTAAATTCCGCACACATGGTTATTTCCATGCTAATTTGACCAACAGGTCCCACGTGCCATAGACAGAGGATGTTATTTTGTAAATATCACACATTTGGATGGTTTTTTTTGGCAATCGCATCAGCAACCTAAACGGTACCGAGGCAGCATTGCCAAATTACACAGCCAGTGATTTTTTTTGAAAACAAAAAACATAGCTAGGCCTCAAGCTAAAACACCCTAAGGGTCTGTTTGGAAATAAATTAGGTGGGCGAGGGGCACACCGACATCTACGTGCGCCCTCCCTGATGGACGCCATATGGAGCCCGACGGCATCGCACGCGCCACATTTGGAGTTAGCCGCGGTCCTCGCTCCCCTCCCCGATGGACCGGCAAACCAACGCGAGGACCAACTCCAGATGCGGCGCGTGTGATGCCATCGGCCTCCACGTGGCATCCATCGGGGAGGGGAGCGCACGCAGGCGTCGATGCGCGTCTCGCCCACCCAATTTATTTCCCAACAAAATTTTTTATTCTTGCGTTTTTTTCTATGAAATTGAATTTATTCATGTGCTCTGGCCATGGCCAGCTTCCGCTTCTGGTTTTGTTCAGAAAGCTGCCACACATGCCAAGCACATTTGTGGACTATTGATGAGCAGTTAAATATACCAACTATTGAAACATTTATACAGGCGGGTGGTGAGGCATTTGTATGAGCGTTATTATTATTATTTTTGAGGTTAGGCAAATAAACAATATCTTAATGGCAACACAAACATGATTAGTAACATAAGTGATTAGATTAACTAGAGCATCCAAATGCCATCTAAGCCTACTTAGCTAGGGACGTCCCAGGACATGCGCGAGAAGGTACGGTATAGACCCCCCATGCAAGCACCCCCACCCACAATTTAGTGTCTAGATTAATATATTACTTCATCAATGGTACACAATGGAACGAGTCAACGACCTTTGTTTTAAATTATCGAAGTCTCTATAAAATATAGTATAAAGTAACCCATTAATTTGTATCTAATAACCCACATATGCTATTATAAAAAGTAAACTAAAAGATCTCTAAAAAAAGATGTCTCTATACTTTATTAATCGTGATAAAATATATCAATGAAACTAATAACCCATTTTTGAATATATTAAAACTCTATCATAATGAATTTTGTAAGTTGTTGCTTTACATAAGTTAATGTTTTCAAAAAATATTTCGGCATATTAATGTTGGCAGTTTAATTTTAAGCACTCCACCTTTTCTCTAAAAAATAACAATACTACTACAAGATAGTTCTTTTTTGATAGAGGAAACTCAACATTTTCGATGTCGTGGTGCAGACTGAACTGACGGTTTATGTCGTGCAATAACTAAGACCAGGGTAGGACCAAGAGTCTATTTTAATAAAATATAAGAAAATTTTAAATAAAAGATACAATAAACACAGGAGATTGAAGTTAACACGTGGATAAAAAAATACAACAATTAATAGGATCAAAAGTCAAGAGTAAAAACTATAGATTCATGATGTAACAAAATGGATGCAACAAGAACTAATGTAAGTTAAACTAAGGTTCCGAGTAAATACATATTAAAATCCCACATAAGTGCAGTGTAAAGGCTGAAAACACAAATAGAGTAAATTGATAATCTATAACAACTTGATAGATTATCTACGTAGGTATTGTGTAGGAAATGGAGAGAGTTAAATGACACGGTAAGAAAAAACCAGCTACGCCGTCGATGCAGCTCCTCTGCTGCAACTCGACCACCATCTCCGTCACCGCCTGCTTGGCCATTGTCTGCCACCGCCCGCCTAGTCACAGTCGCAGTGCTCTATGCCTGGCCACCATCTTCACCGCCACCAGATGTCCTCACAGGTTGATTCAACACATACAGAGAGAGAGAGAAAGATCACATATTGATAAGAGAGGTAAACGAAATCAAAGATTGATTCAAGAAAGAGAGTGAAAGGATAGATCCATTGAAGAGTGAGGATGAGATATAGATCTTGAGACCTCTCCGACCCCCCCCCCCCCCCCAACGAGGCCCCATGCCCCCCCCTGCCCCAACGAGTAGGAGGGGGAGAGGATAATGCTAGCCGAGAGAGAGAGAGAGAGAGAGAGAGAGAGAGAGAGAGAGAGAGAGAGAGAGAGACTAGACCTAACTTCTCACTGAGTTAATCAAAGTTAATTTTATTTTCGGATCCAGAAACTAGGAGTACTGCTGGTTGGCAAAACAACCTGGTAGTGATACCCAGCCGAGCTATTTTACCATCCGATAGTGATAAATTTCTCAATTGATTTTAAAATACGATAGTGATACGCTTTTTACTTACGAACTGATAATAGTCTGGCAATGGTTGCTTGTTCTGTATATGTAAATAAGGATGCACATGCAAAGTACTATGCCCCGACACAGTAAGAGTCTTCAACTTTTATTTACACCAACAAAAATCTGTTAAGGTTAATTAACTACCTGCTGAGGAGTGTGGACATGACCGAAGAAGATGAAAGAACTTGGTCTCAGAGTAGTTCCTTTATTGAGACTATCCTTAGTGTGTGTGTGTGTGTGTGGGGTGGGGGGGGGGGGGGGGGGGGGTGAATTTAGAACAACTATTACAACTTATACAGGGAGTCAAGCCACCAGGTTCGAGGTGGTTGGTTGACATCATTTCTAATTATAACAACCTACTTCATTTATTCCCAAAAAATAGGCTATTTTTTTAATCCACAACGAAACATGGGCATTCAACTACTGGTGATAGTACATGAAGCACTGATAGATGGGAGTACATATATGTTGCCCGGACCCGTTGTTCATGCAAAGAGTAAGCTTAAATAGGGAAGTCCTTCAGCAGCAGGGAGGCAACAGTCTCCTTGAGGGTGTCACCATAGGTGAAGGCATCCCTGCCATGAAGGCAAAGCATCTCGTTCATCCTTGCCATGTTCACCGCTACCTGAGCCGCTGGTAGTATTCCGCGGTCGAACTCCATATATGCCTGGTTGATCCTCCTCCACGCGTGCTCCACCATAGTTTTAAATAATGCCGCCGTTGCATCGTCAGGCGTCATGCCATGTTCCTTCATGTAGCACTCCAAAGAGCTGGCTACATCTATCTTGCTATTCCTTGGCTGTGGACAAATAAATACATGCATGTCAATGTGATCTCATATACGCAATGCTCCATCTATTTCAAATTATAAGTCACTGTGGTTTTGTTTAAATCAAACTTCTCTAATTTTAACTAACTTTATAGAAATATATATTGGCATCTACACTACTAAAATAAGTTCACTCTCAGGACATACTGCATGGTTGATTGAATGAAACTACTACTTCTGTCCACAAAATAATGTAATTCTCGGATTTTGAGGAGTCAAACAGTCTGAACTTTAACTAAATTTATATAAAAAAGTATAAATATTTTTTATACAAAATAAGTACCATTAGATTAGTTATAGAATATATTTTCATAATAAATTTATTTAGAGATATAAATGTTAATACTATTTATTATAAACTTGGTCAAATTTGAGCTCAATTGACCGGCACGGATACTATAATTGTATTTTTTTGTGGACGGAGGGAGTAATTTGATATTGTAAATGTTGGTACACTTTTTTTTTAGATTTAGTCAAAGTTAGAGAAGTTTGACTTAGCACAAAATTATAATTTGAAATAGAGGAAGTAAGTAAATCAAAATTCTGAAACTCTGCTATCCTTAGCGGAGGGAAGTACACGTGCTCGTATTTCTTGATTTATTTTAGTATTTAATTTAATGATATTAAGGCGCACATATAGTGACTTTTGGTCACTCTCAAGATCCGTCAGCCCAATCATTTAGAAGTGCACATAAAAGTAGGAGTATAGTATATATGTGTGCATGCGTTTATATGGTGAGTGTGTCACGTCTATGTTTTTAGGTGTTCTGAAAAAAGAAATAGAGAGAGAAAAATGTGTGTCTCTACACCCCTATATATATACACACACGTGCGGCTCACGAATATACATTTAATATTGAAAGGCATGGACCTAGAGCTTGAGCCAGCTCAGCTCGGCTCGGTCCAGCTCGAGCTGGCTCAACTTGTTAGGCTAACGAGCCAGCTCGGTAATATTACGAGTTAGAGGTGCAGCTTCAGCTCGGCTCGTTAGCGAGCTCGAGCTGGCTCATTTAGCTCGCGAGCTACTTAAAAAAAATTAGGACATATATGTTTATAATGTTTA